CCCCCCCCCCCGTTCCCCTCGTGTCAAGAGTTATCTGGTGTGCCAAGATCAGGCCGAGTGTGTCGGGTAGGCCCTATCGGTTTAAGAGTGTCTGGGCCTGATTTTCTTCCAGAACCTGGAAAGCCCACTCTCTGCCTGCCATTCGGGGGCTCAGTTCACAGTGACGCGACTTTTTTCACGACTCTCCTTTCTGACCTGATTCTGCAAGCAGCTTGCATTCCTCCGGCGGGGACATGAGCTTGGGGAGGGGGAAAGCATCCTGGTCCCGACTAACGTTTAAACTACAGTTTAGGAAGGTGAGCCTCGCTGCCCGGTTTTGGCAGAACCCCCTGCCCGAAGGCGGATGCCCTGGAGTCTGCCGCCTCCTGGGTAGGAGGGACGGAAAGATTGAAGCGTTAAGACTAAAGGGGCTTCACAATCTACGTGGAGGTGCCAGTGGAGCCCCAGAGAGGTGGTTGGGAAGCCTTAGTCTGGGGTCCTCACACCGTTCCTCCTCCCAGCGGTGAAGCGCCCCATTTCCGGGCTGATAGTAGTTGGTACTTTGCACAGATGGGGACAGGAGTTGGTGGAGGGCCTCTCGGAAGGGCTCGGGGTTGCTGCCATCTCCTAGCGGGCAGGAGACTGTGCAGGCCCACACACGTGCACCCTTCCCAGGTGAAGAATTAAGGACCCAAACCTCCCTATTCCAAAGTCCGTAGCAAGGGGCCTTGTCTGAAGCCCTATCCACCAGCGTCCCAGACCCTAGGAAATACCGGCCTAGCTTGCGGCAACGACTGCATCCTTCCGGGGCAAAGTTCACCTCACCGAAGTGTTCTATGGGAGGGCACCCAGTTCTGCCTTTCAGTTCGCAGACTGAGTCAACCTGAGGTTGTAATCTGTGTCATCTCGCACAGGACCTCCACTTCTGGCTGGACATGAGGTCCCCGCGCATGGGGCTCCCAGACAGCGCTTCCGTGATTTCCTTTTTTTTTTTTTTTTCTTTCGCTGAGGCATGCAATGTTTGTTCTTTGCTTTTCCAGCCACAGTTTCCTTCGGGAAGGGAGCGGCAGGTGAGCCTTAGTCTCGGGACGGGCATTGATCTGGGTAGCAATAGCAACACAGCGGGAGAAAGAGGCAAAGCGGCAGATCTGTAGGCGCGCAATAAATATCCGAAGAACCGTGGCCTTTGGACCGTTTGCTCCTGTGATCGCAGCGGCCAGGACCGCCCCCCCCCCCCCCCCCCCGGCAACGCGTTCCTTAGGCGCCTTTACACACACGTGTTTGTGTGTCCTTTTCTTTCCCAACGAGACCCGTGTTACTCAAAGCGCCCCAACGGTGGGCATTTTTACTTTTTTCCCTCTCTGTATTTGAGGAGGGAGAAGGATGAGCCCTCCGGGGGGGGGGGGTGTTGGATGAGGTGCAGTGACCTCCTCCTATCTGCCTCTGATACCCCCTTCCCCGCCACCAGCCTGTAACCGGGAGGGCCCTCCGACCTCGGGGGAGTATGAAGACCAGAGACAGTAAACCTGGCTGGCTGAGCCTGGGAGTGGGAAAGGAGGGGCGGAATGAGGGTAGGAGGCCCAGCACTCCTAAGAGGAGGGCGATCAGCCTTCATCCTTGGTTTTTCCAAAAATATCTATCCTGAGAGGTGGTACCCGGGAGCCGCTCGTCCTGAGGATTCCTCCCCCTCCCCGCGCCCCTCCGCTCCCTCCTTTTAGCTAAAGGTGCTTTGATTTGTTAATTTAAAAATAAAAATAGTAAGCACTTAGTGTGTGGGGTGAGGCGCCTCCGGAGAAACTGGCTCGGCTGGTAGGAGCCTCAGGCTCATTTCAGCCCCCCCCCCCCCCCCCCCGGGCTCCTTGGGCAGAGGCAGGTTTCGGAGGACACCCTCCCTCCTGGCTCCTAGTAATCTTTCTGGGCAAAGGGGTTTAGTCTCAGGAAAGGGGCCCAGGACGGTTAGGTGGGGGTTTTCTGGGGGAAGCCTGGGCCCCATGACAACAGTCCCCCCTCCACCCTCCCTCAACCCGATGGGAGTCTGACCTGCTTTCCCCTCTTAGAGAGCCACGATAGGAAGGTGAGTCTTCCAGGTATCCATAAAGGTCTCTATCAAACCGTGGAAAGGGAGGGCACACCTTTACCATACAATTCCAACCTCCAATCCCTAAGGCAGATTGTGGAGAGTTCAGGAGAGCGTGCTTTCATCTCTGCAGAGACTCTCATCTCAGAAGAACTCAGAGATCCTTTCTTTCTACCCTAAGCTCAGCCTGGGGCAAGCCAAAGGGCTCTTTCAGCTGCTGTTAGACTCTGCC